TAAGACAATAACACCACTAGTACTCAGGCAATAACACCACTAGTACTCAGGCAATAACACCACTAGTACTCAGATAATAACAACACTAGTACTAAGACAATAACACCACTAGTACTCAGGCAATAACACCACTAGCACTCAGGCAATAACACCACTAGTACTCAGGCAATAATACCACTAGTACTCAGATAATAACAACACTAGTACTAAGACAATAACACCCCTAGTACTCAGACAATAACACCACTAGTACTCAGATAATAACACCACTAGTACTCAGGCAATAATACCACTAGTACTCAGATAATAACAACACTAGTACTAAGACAACAACAACACTAGTACTCAGGCAATAACACCACTAGTACTAAGACAATAACACCACTAGTACTCAGGCAATAACACCACTAGTACTCAGGCAATAACACCACTAGTACTCAGATAATAACAACACTAGTACTAAGACAATAACACCACTAGTACTCAGGCAATAACACCACTAGTACTCAGGCAATAACACCACTAGTACTCAGGCAATAACACCACTAGTACTCAGGCAATAACACCACTAGTACTCAGGCAATAACACCACTAGTACTCAGGCAATAACACCACTAGTACTCAGACAATACACCACTAGTACTCAGGCAATAACACCACTAGTACTCAGGCAATAACACCACTAGTACTCAGGCAATAACACCACTAGTACTCAGGCAATAACACCACTAGTACTCAGGCAATAACACCACTAGTACTCAGACAATAACACCACTAGCACTCAGACAATAACACCACTAGTACTCAGACAATAACACCACTAGTACTCAGGAAATAACACCACTAGTACTCAGGCAATAACACCACTAGTACTCAGGCAATAACACCACTTGTACTCAGACAATAACACCACTAGTACTCAGACAATAACACCACTAGTACTCAGACAACAACACCACTAGTACTCAGGCAATAACACCACTAGTACTCAGACAATAACACCACTAGTACTCAGACAATAACACCACTAGTACTCAGACAATAACACCACTAGTATTCAGACAATAACACCACTAGTACTCAGGCAATAACACCACTAGTACTCAGACAATAACACCACTAGTACTCAGGCAATAACACCACTAGTACTCAGACAATAACACCACTAGTACTCAGACAATAACACCACTAGTACTCAGACAATAACACCACTAGTGCTCATACAATAACACCACTAGTACTAAGGCAATAACACCACTAGTACTCAGACAATAACACCACTAGTACTCAGGCAATAACACCACTAGTACTCAAACAATAACACCACTAGTACTCAGACAATAACACCACTAGTACTCAGACAATAACACCACTAGTACTCAGACAATAACACCACTAGTACTCAGACAATAACACCACTAGTACTCAGACAATAACACCACTAGTACTCAGACAATAACACCACTAGTGCTCATACAATAACACCACTAGTACTCAGGCAATAACACCACTAGTACTCAGACAATAACACCACTAGTACTCAGGCAATAACACCACTAGTACTCAAACAATAACACCACTAGTACTCAGACAATAACACCACTAGTACTCAGACAATAACACCACTAGTACTCAGACAATAACACCACTAGTACTCAGGCAATAACACCACTAGTACTCAGACAATAACACCACTAGTACTCAGACAATAACACCACTAGTACTCAGACAATAACACCACTAGTACTCAGACAATAACACCACTAGTACTCAGACAATAACACCACTAGTGCTCATACAATAACACCACTAGTACTCAGACAATAACACCACTAATACTCAGACAATAACACCACTAGTACTCAGACAATAACACCACTAGTACTCAGACAATAACACCACTAGTACTCAGACAATAACACCACTAATACTCAGACAATAACACCACTAGTACTCAGACAATAACACCACTAGTACTCAGACAATAACACCACTAGTACTCAGACAATAACACCACTAGTACTCAGACAATAACACCACTAGTACTCAGACAATAACACCACTAGTACTCAGACAATAACACCACTAGTACTCAGACAATAACACCACTAGTACTCAGACAATAACACCACTAGTACTCAGACAATAACACCGTGAGTGTTACAGTACAATACAACACAACTTTATTTTTTACTGCAGTATACAAACTGTAGTTTACATAGTAACAGAATATTGTTAGATACAAGACTGTATCACACTAACACAAGACTGTATCACACTAACACAAGACTGCATCACACTAACACAAGACTGTATCACACTAACACAAGACTGTATCACACTAACACAAGACTGTATCACACTAACACAAGACTGTATCACACTAACACAAGACTGTATCACACTAACACAAGAATGCATCACACTAACACAAGACTGTATCACACTAACACAAGACTGTATCACACTAACACAAGACTGTATCACACTAACACAAGAATGCATCACACTAACACAAGACTGTATCACACTAACACAAGACTGTATCACACTAACACAAGACTGTATCACACTAACACAAGACTGTATCACACTAACACAAGACTGCATCACACTAACACAAGACTGCATCACACTAACACAAGACCGTATCACACTAACACAAGACTGTATCACACTAACACAAGAATGCATCACACTAACACAAGACTGTATCACACTAACACAAGACTGTATCACACTAACACAAGAATGCATCACACTAACACAAGACTGCATCACACTAACACAAGACTGTATCACACTAACACAAGACTGCATCACACTAACACAAGAATGCATCACACTAACACAAGACTGTATCACACTAACACAAGACTGTATCACACTAACACAAGACTGCATCACACTAACACAAGACTGCATCACACTAACACAAGACTGCATCACACTAACACAAGACTGCATCACACTAACACAAGACTGCATCACACTAACACAAGACTGCATCACACTAACACAAGACTGTATCACACTAACACAAGACTGTATCACACTAACACAAGACTGCATCACACTAACACAAGACTGCATCACACTAACACAAGACTGCATCACACTAACACAAGACTGTATCACACTAACACAAGACTGCATCACACTAACACAAGACTGCATCACACTAACACAAGACTGTATCACACTAACACAAGACTGTATCACACTAACACAAGAATGCATCACACTAACACAAGACTGCATCACACTAACACAAGACTGTATCACACTAACACAAGACTGCATCACACTAACACAAGACTGCATCACACTAACACAAGACTGCATCACACTAACACAAGACTGCATCACACTAACACAAGACTGCATCACAACTAACACAAGACTGCATCACTCTAACACAAGACTGTATCACACTAACACAAGACTGTATCACACTAACACAAGAATGCATCACACTAACACAAGACTGCATCACACTAACACAAGACTGTATCACACTAACACAAGACTGCATCACACTAACACAAGACTGCATCACACTAACACAAGACTGCATCACACTAACACAAGACTGCATCACACTAACACAAGACTGCATCACACTAACACAAGACTGTATCACACTAACACAAGAATGCATCACACTAACACAAGACTGCATCACACTAACACAAGACTGTATCACACTAACACAAGACTGCATCACACTAACACAAGACTGCATCACACAAACACAAGACTGTATCACACTAACACAAGACTGTATCACACTAACACAAGAATGCATCACACTAACACAAGACTGCATCACACTAACACAAGACTGTATCACACTAACACAAGACTGCATCACACTAACACAAGACTGCATCACACTAACACAAGACTGCATCACACTAACACAAGACTGCATCACACTAACACAAGACTGTATCACACTAACACAAGACTGCATCACACTAACACAAGACTGCATCACACTAACACAAGACTGCATCACACTAACACAAGACTGCATCACACTAACACAAGACTGCATCACACTAACACAAGAATGCATCACACTAACACAAGACTGCATCACACTAACACAAGACTGTATCACACTAACACAAGACTGCATCACACTAACACAAGACTGCATCACACTAACACAAGACTGTATCACACTAACACAAGACTGTATCACACTAAGACAAGAATGCATCACACTAACACAAGACTGTATCACACTAAGACAAGAATGCATCACACTAACACGAGAATGCATCACACTAACACAAGAATGCATCACACTAACACAAGACTGCATCACACTAACACAAGACTGCATCACACTAACACAAGACTGCATCACACTAACACAAGAATGCATCACACTAACACGAGAATGCATCACACTAACACGAGAATGCATCACACTAACACAAGACTGCATCACACTAACACAAGACTGCATCACACTAACACAAGACTGTATCACACTAACACAAGACTGTATCACACTAACACAAGACTGTATCACACTAACACAAGACTGCATCACACTAACACAAAACTGCATCACACTAACACAAGACTGCATCACACTAACACAAGACTGCATCACACTAACACAAGACTGCATCACACTAACACAAGAATGCATCACACTAACACAAGAATGCATCACACTAACACAAGAATGCATCACACTAACACAAGAATGCATCACACTAACACAAGAATGCATCACACTAACACAAGACTGCATCACACTAACACAAGACTGTATCACACTAACACAAGACTTCATCACACTAACACAAGACTGTATCACACTAACACAAGAATGCATCACACTAACACAAGAATGCATTACAATAACACAAGAATGTATCACACTAACACAAGAATGCATCACACTAACACAAGAATGCATTACAATAACACAAGAATGCATTACACACTGCGGAGCGACACAACTCTAATCTGATTACCAGTTTTGTGTTATGAGGAGGTTGCTGGTTGTGAGGGATGATGGTGGTGTGAGGCTGTGGCAACGCACGTAGACACACAGACCAGGCAAGTGAGGAACTGTGGAGTCTTACCTCAACCCTGCTTGCTTTTCGGGGGACATGCGCGCGCGTATACACATGTACGCTTGACCTAGCACACAAACAAGCACACACGCACACACACACACACACACACGCACACACACACACACACACACACACACACACACACACACACACACACACACACACACACACACACACACACACACACACACACACACACACATACGATTCACCCAAAATTTCAGGGAAGCAAAAACTAAGTGCACTAGAGAATGGAAAAAGTACAGAAGACAAAGGACCCAGGAAAGTAAAGAGATTAGCCGAAGAGCCAGAAACGAATATGCACAGATAAGAAGGAGGCTCAGCGACAATACGAAAATGACATAGAATCGAAATGTCAAGTTTGACCCGAAGCTGTTGTATAGCCACATCAGGAGGAAAACAATAGTCAAAGACCAGGTAATCAGACTGAGGAAGGAAGGTGGGGAGTTCACAGGAAACGACCAAGAAGTATGTGAGGAGCTCAACATGAGATTTAAAGAAGAATTTACAGTGGAGACAAGAAGGACTCCAGGAAATCAGAAGAGGGAGGTACACCAACAAGTGCTGGATGAAATAAACACAACCGAGGAGGAGGTGAAGAAGCTGCTATGTGAACTTGATACCTAAAAAGGCGGTGGGACTGGACAACATCTCTCTGTGGGTTCTTAGAGAGGGAGAAGAGATGCTGTGTGTGCCACTAACAAAAATCTTCAACACATCCATTGGAATTGGGCAACTACCTGAGGTATGGAAGATGGCAAATGTAGTACCAGTTTTTAAGAAAGGAGATAGACACAAGGCATTAAACTACAGACCTGTGTCACTGACGTGTATAGTATGCAGAATCATGGAGACTAGTAAGTTCGCCGGTCTTGTCCCGGCCCGGGTCTTTTCCAGATGGTGACCCGACAAAGTCACGGAGAAGAGTATCAGGAGAGTGGTGGAGCACCTGGAAAGAAACAAGTTTATGAATGACAACCAGCACGGTTTCAGGGAAGCAAAATCCTGTGTCACAAACCTACTGAAGTTTTATGACAAGGTAACGGAAGTAAGACACGAGAGAGAGGGGTGGACAGATTGCAGTTTCTTGGACTGCAAGAAGGCCTTTGACATAGTTCCTCATAAGAAGTTAATATAAAAACTAGAGGATCAGGCACGCATAACATGAAAGGCACTTCAATCGATCAAAGAATATCTGAGTCACAGGGGTGTTAGGAAGTGCTTCTTCAGCCATAGAGTTGTCAGGAAGTGAAACAATCTGAAGAGTGGTGTACTGGAGGCAGGATCCATACATAACTTTAAAAAGAGGTATGATAAAGCTATGGGACAGGGAGAGAGTGGTCATAGCAGCGACCAGCGATGAGACGAGACCAGAAGCTATGAGTCGACCCCTGCAGCCACACTTAGGTGAATACAAATAGGTGAGTACACACACGATGGCTTGGGAAACAAAGACAACAAACCTTCCTAAAAGGGAAGGTCCTCGAAATGAGCAGACTTCAGAGTATTTCACCTGAGACGCAAATCAAATAACAGCAGCAGTGAACACGAGACTGGCAAATTTAAAGGTAGCTTTCTGGCGCCTCAACAAGACGTGTTCAACCTGTCACACGCCATGACGCTACGTATGTCAGTATGTAACACACGTCTGATGGAGCAAGTTAAGAAGCTGGAAAAAGTGCACGGGTTAGCAAGGAGACTAGTCCCTGGGTATGAACTATGAGAGACTAGTTCCTGGGTATGAACTATGAGAGACTAGTTCCTGGGTATGAACTATGAGAGACTAGTTCCTGGGTATGAACTATGAGAGACTAGTTCCTGGGTATGAACTATGAGAGACTAGTTCCTGGTATGAACTATGAGAGACTAGTCCCTGGGTATGAACTATGAGAGACTAGTTCCTGGGTATGAACTATGAGAGACTAGTTCCTGGGTATAAACTATGAGAGACTAGTCCCTGGGTATGAACTATGAGAGACTAGTCCCTGGGTATGAACTATGAGAAACTAGTTCCTGGGTATGAACTATGAAAGACTAGTTCCTGGGTATGAACTATCAGAGACTAGTTCCAGGGTATGAACTATGAGAGACTAGCTCCAGGGTATGAACTATGAGAGACTAGTCCCTGGGTATGAACTATGAGAGACTAGTTCCTGGGTATGAACTATGAGAGACTAGTTCCTGGGTATGAACTATGAGAGACTAGTTCCAGGGTATGAACTATGGGAGACTAGTTCCTGGGTATGAACTATGAGAGACTAATTCCTGGGTATGAACTATGAGAGACTAGTTCCTGGGTATGAACTATGAGAGACTAGTTTCAGGGTATAAACTATGAGAGACTAGTCCCAAAGTATAAATTATGAGAGACTAGTCCCAGGGTATGAACTATGAGAGACTAGTTCCTGGGTATGAACTATGAGAGACTAGTCCCTGGGTATAAACTATGAGAGACTAGTTCCTGGGTATGAACTATTAGAGACTAGTTCCGGGGTATGAACTATGAGAGACTAGTTCCTGGGTATAAATTATGAGAGACTAGTTCCTGGGTATGAACTATGAGAGATTAGTCCCTGGGTATAAATTATGAGAGACTAGTTCCAGGGTATAAACTATGAGAGACTAGTTCCTGGGTATGAACTATGAGAGACTAGTTCCTGGGTATAAACTATGAGAGACTAGTTCCAGGGTATGAACTATGAGAGACTAGTTCCAGGGTATGAACTATGAGAGACTAGTTCCTGGGTATAAACTATGAGAGACTAGTCCCAGGGTATAAACTATGAGAGACTAGTCCCAGGGTATGAACTATGACAGACTAGTTCCTGGGTATGAACTATGAGAGACTAGTCCCTGGGTATGAACTATGAGAGACTAGTTCCTGGGTATGAACTATGAGAGACTAGTTCCTGGATATGAACTATGAGAGACTAGTTCCAGGGTATAAACTATGAGAGACTAGTCCCTGGGTATGAACTATGAGAGACTAGTTCCTGGGTATGAACTATGAGAGACTAGTTCCAGGGTATGAACTATGAGAGACTAGTCCCAGGGTATGAACTATGAGAGACTAGTTCCTGGGTATGAACTATGAGAGACTAGTTCCTGGGTAAGAACTATGAGAGACTAGTTCCTGGGTATAAACTATGAGAGACTAGTCCCTGGGTATAAACTATGGGAGACTAGTCGCAGGGTATAAAACTATGAGAGACTAATTCCTGGGTATGAACTATGAGACTAGTCCCAGGGTATGAAACTATGAGACTAGTCCCAGGGTATGAACTATGAGAGACTAGTTCCTGGGTAAGAATTATGAGAGACTAGTTCCAGGGTATAAACTATGAGAGACTAGTCCCAGGGTATAAACTATGAGAGACTAGTCCCAGGGTATGAACTATGAGAGACTAGTTCTTGGGCATAAACTATGAGAGACTAGTCCCAGGGTATGAACTATGAGAGAGTAGTCCCAGGGTATAAACTATGAGAGACTAGTCCCAGGGTATAAACTATGAGAGACTAGTCCCTGGGTATAAACTATGAGAGACTAGTCCCAGGGTATGAACTATGAGAGACTAGTCCCTGGGTATAAACTACGAGAGACTAGTCCCAGGGTATAAACTATGAGAGACTAGTCCCAGGGTATGAACTATGAGAGACTAGTCCCAGGGTATGAACTATGAAAGACTAGTCCCAGGGTATGAACTATGAGAGACTAGTCCCTGGATATAAACTATGAGAGACTAGTCCCAGGGTATGAACTATGAGAGACTAGTCCCAGGGTATAAACTATGAGAGACTAGTCCCAGGGTATAAACTGTGAGAGACTAGTCCCAGGGTATAAACTATGAGAGACTAGTCCCTGGGTATAAACTATGAGAGACTAGTCCCTGGGTATGAACTATGAGAGATTAGTCCCAGGGTATAAACTATGAGAGACTAGTCCCTGGGTATAAACAATGAGAGACTAGTCCCAGGGTATAAACTATGAGAGACTAGTCCCTGGGTATGAACTATGAGAGGCTAGTTCCAGGGTATAAACTATGAGAGACTAGTCCCTGGGTATGAACTATGAGAGACTAGTCCCAGGGTATGAACTATGAGAGACTAGTTCCTGGGTATGAACTATGAGAGACTAGTCCCTGGGTATAAACTATGAGAGACTAGTTCCTGGGTATGAACTATTAGAGACTAGTTCCGGGGTATGAACTATGAGAGACTAGTTCCTGGGTATAAATTATGAGAGACTAGTTCCTGGGTATGAACTATGAGAGATTAGTCCCTGGGTATAAATTATGAGAGACTAGTTCCAGGGTATAAACTATGAGAGACTAGTTCCTGGGTATGAACTATGAGAGACTAGTTCCTGGGTATAAACTATGAGAGACTAGTTCCAGGGTATGAACTATGAGAGACTAGTTCCAGGGTATGAACTATGAGAGACTAGTTCCTGGGTATAAACTATGAGAGACTAGTCCCAGGGTATAAACTATGAGAGACTAGTCCCAGGGTATGAACTATGACAGACTAGTTCCTGGGTATGAACTATGAGAGACTAGTCCCTGGGTATGAACTATGAGAGACTAGTTCCTGGGTATGAACTATGAGAGACTAGTTCCTGGATATGAACTATGAGAGACTAGTTCCAGGGTATAAACTATGAGAGACTAGTCCCTGGGTATGAACTATGAGAGACTAGTTCCTGGGTATGAACTATGAGAGACTAGTTCCAGGGTATGAACTATGAGAGACTAGTCCCAGGGTATGAACTATGAGAGACTAGTTCCTGGGTATGAACTATGAGAGACTAGTTCCTGGGTAAGAACTATGAGAGACTAGTTCCTGGGTATAAACTATGAGAGACTAGTCCCTGGGTATAAACTATGGGAGACTAGTCGCAGGGTATGAACTATGAGAGACTAATTCCTGGGTATGAACTATGAGACTAGTCCCAG